CCTGGAGAAGCTGGGGCAGTGCAGACCCTCCAGGACCCCCTGGAGAAGCTGGGGCAATGTAGATCCTCCAGGACCCCCTGGAGAAGCTGGGGCAGTGCAGACCCTCCAGGACCCCCTAGAGAAGCTGCCCTCAGGACATTTCGCCTCAGGTGCAGCAGTGCTGGCACCAAAACCCCAAATGCCCAGCGGGCAGCACCACCAGCCACCCGCCACACCTGCATTGAAAGGGAGCTGTCACTTTGCCCTCCAGAACATGAAAAGTGAGAAAAAAATACAGTGAAAAGCTGAGGAGCATGGGGAGGGTTAACGCTGCGGGTGGAGTGAAGAGCACAGCTGCTGGGTTTGGGTGCCAGGGCTGGCACTGCCTGGCACCGGGTCACTGTCCCCCCTGGGCAGAGGGGACCCAGCCAACCTGCCCTGCTGGGGTGAGCTCAGCCCATGTTCCCTCTTTTCAGGTCAAACTCCAGAAATCCCTGGAGAATCTTTTGAAGGAAGCAGAGGAGGTGAAGAAGCGTGAGTCAGCAGAGAGGATGAAAACCCAGGAGTGCAAGGCAGGTGTCTGACTTAATTCTTAAAGAATGAGCTTCGGTGACATCAGTAGTTAAAAAAATCATCCTGAAGGGTCTTGTCCGGGGACATGGATTCGTCATAATCTCCAGGATGGGGCATGTCCCCCTGTCCTGCTGTCAGATGTAGGAGCTGTGCTGGAAACCAGGCTCAGAACCCTGTGTGGCTTTGTAAAAAGGTTTGAAAGGAGCAGCGCTCCAGTTTCCCTGGAATCACGAGGGCTTCGTGATGGTTGAACAAATAGACACAGGGTGTTTTTTATTGCCTTTTGTTTTACAACATGTGCTTGAGTTCCAAGCCAGGTGTGAGCCGTGTGGTGAGCTCTGCTCCACGGCAACAGGAACCAGAAGTATTTTCATTAAGAAAAGAAAAAAAAGCTCAATTACTACACCTCTGCCCGGCTCCAGATGGTTCTGGGGAGAGCAGACGCCAGCAAACAGCTGCGTTTCATGTCCCTCAGGGTGAAAGCTGGAAAGTGAAAGTAACTGCAGAAAAGGAAATGAAACTGCCGCCCGGAGTTATCCAGCCCTGAATCTGAGCTGAGGATTAATCAGCTCTCACAGGGAAAACAGGATTCTCCACACTGCCCTGGTTGATTACTCAATTCCCTTGTCTGGGCAGCCCAGGCAAGGGGTGGTGGGATTTTGGGATGCCCCTGTGAGCCCACTGTCCCTGCTGGGGCTGGGGATGGAGATTGTGAGGGCTGTGTCACTGTCCCCCCACTGTGGGATCCCGAGTCAGGGCTCAGCTGCAGCTCAGCTGCCTCCAGCTCCCTCTGGTCGTGCTTTTATAGTAAAAGGAGAAAAAAGTCCCTTGTTGGTGCTGGGGGAAGTGGCTGTGGCTGTCCTGGCTTATCAAGCCTCCAGGACTCAGGGCCAAGGAATCATGTGCTTGGATGGAAAACTAAGTGGAATTTACTTTCCTTTATCTTCTACATTCTGAGGTTTCCTCACTCAAGCTACTGTGGGGTGTTTTTCCAGGAAAGTGCCAATTTATAGGAATGAGGGGAAAGACTAAAGCACTGGCAGACCCTTCCCATTGCTGGCCCCTCACCCTGCAGTGGGACACTTGGGGAACCCTCCCTGGGTCTCCCTTTCTATTCCTTCCCAGCCTTGAGGCTTTTTTACATGGACAGGTAGTGACAGGACAAGGTTTTAAACTAAAAGAGGAGAAATTTAGGTTGGATATTGGGAAGAAATTCCTGGCTGTGAAGGTGGGGAGGCCCTGGCACAGGTTGCCCAGAGAAGCTGTGGCTGCCCCATCCCTGGAAGTGTCCAAGGCCAGGTTGGACAGGGCTTGGAGCAACCTGGGCTAGTGGAAGGTGTCCCTGCCCATGGCAGGGAGTGGAAGTAGAAGGTCTTTCAGGTCTCTTCCAAGCCAAACCATTCTGTGATTCTATGATTCTTCCAGCTCTTTCCCTTTGCTGTGGGTTTTTCCAGCTGCCCAAGCAGTGGATTAGCCTGGATTTAGCTGGAGGTTCGAGTTGTTCCTCCAGCTGTACCTAATAAAAACCTACCTGGAGGCACCTCCTTGCAGCCCAACAGCCCCCCCAAGACATCTGGGGTCCAGCTGAGCAGAAATGCCCTGGGGCAAAGTCCTGCTGTTGGTAAACTGAGGATGTGGAGTGGGAATTCCAGTGAGGTGGAAGCACAGATTTCCTCTGGCTGCTTTTTAAAATTCATGCACTTATGTCAAAAATGTGGTGGTTTCCCAGGGCCTTTCCCAGCTCCATCTCAGCTTCCTGGCTAATATTGTCTCTCTTCACCTCACATATCTTCTCATCACAAGGAGATGGTGAAGAAAAAGCGGGAGAGGATCGTGAGCGAGTTTGGGAAGCTGCATCGGCTGCTGGCTGATGAGGAGAAGCTGCTGCTCCAGACACTGGAGGAGGAGGAGAAGCAGATTCTGCTGCTGATCAATGAAAACCTGGCCAGGCTGGTGGAGGAGAAGTGCTTGCTGGAGGACCTGATCCTGGAGATAAAGGAGAAGAGCCAGCAGCCAGCTGACGGGCTGCTCAAGGTCAGGCCATGCCACCAGCCCCACTGCCTCAGCCCTGGGGCCTTTGCCACCTGGGGTTGGCTGGTGGGCACGAGGGGCTGAGCCACACACCCAGAATGGCTTTTGTCTTCTCCTCCTAGGACATGAAAAGCATCCTGAGCAGGTGGGTACCTGTGCTCGTTCTTGGTAGGTACCATGATTAATCCTCACAGGTACCCATGATTGTTCCTCATGAGTGTCCATGATTATTCCTGGTAGGTATCTATGATTATTCCTGATAGGGACCATGATTGTCCCTCCTTCTGTCCTGGCTGCTCCAGGTTCTGAGGGAAATGTTTGTGTCTGCTCCACACCAGCCACCTTGTCCTCCCTGTCCAGCATCTGGTTTGGTCCTCCTGGGGTAGACACAGGAGGGACTGAGTCAATCCCTCAGAGGTTCCATCCTCTTTTTCCAGGGGCTCAGAGCCAAGGTCTTGCCTGGTTTGTGACATGTGAGATGTGTCCCCTCCTAAGGGACGTGCTGTCCAGTTGCTCCTTCCTTCCCTGGGACTGGCACTGCTGCTCCCTGGATCGTTTCACTCTGATCCCATCAGGATTGCTGATATGGTTATCCCTAGTGCTCATCCCAGCCACAGAGCTCCAGGGAAGCTCCAACAGAAGGGCATTAATGCCACTCCCAGCAGGAGAGGGGCCGTGCTGTGGGCTCTGGGTACAGCCCATGGGCATCTCTGTCTTCCCAGGTGTGAGGAGGTGAAGTTCCATTCCCCCAAGCCTGTGTCAGTGACCCTGAAGGAAAACTACAGCATTCCCGAGCGCTGCCTGGGCATGAGGGACATGCTGAAGAAGTTCAAAGGTAAGGGGCTGCTTTTGTGCCAGCTCCTGGCACATTTGGGTTCTGGTTGCCCCCATACCCCAGGTCACGGGGAGGCTTTTCCCATAAGCTTTGTTCAGCTGGTCCCACTTTGTGCACTGATGAGTTCAGGATGGTTTCATGGTGGGGAGACCTTCCTTGTTGTGGTCTTGGGTGGGTTGTGAGTGGATCCTGAAGGCTTGGAGGTCACTCAGGGGTTTGAGGCACCCTGTTGCCCGTGAACTCTTGCTTTCAGTGTTGGCTCTCTCTGAAGGTTCTCAGCTACCCTCGTTCTGCCCCTGCTCTGCAGCAGATACCAAACATCTTGATGTGGTTTATGGTTATCTCGATTTTCTACGTTGCACTTCCCCATTGCCAGGGACTGAGCAAAACCACAGGCACGAGCAAACAACTGTGGGAGGCTGGAAGGTCTGGGGGAGCCCAGCACCCACAG